TGGTTATATGTTGGCATTTGTGAGATTCAGTCTAAAAAAGTAGAGGTAACAGAAAAATTCAGTGAATTTTAAAAAATCTTGTGTGTTTTGCCTGGTAATAACAGTGCTGTTATTTAAAAAAATTACGTTAATTAGTTTAATTGGGTAATTTAGGTTATTCACTGATATTTTTAATCTTTTGAAAAAATAGAATAAAATATTAACACAAGATCAATGAAGTTCACCTTTAATTTCAGAAGATATCTTAAGTGATACACCTAGTGAAACTAGCCTGGCTTTTGGTTAGTGGCTACTGTGTATTAGTGATTATAATTGAGCCTTTCTGAGAAAGTGAAGGTGGTTGTAAAAATTAGAGAGTTTGTCTCAATTCTTATTTTTTATTTCACCAGCTCTTTTTTATTAATGTGTGTTTCTGATACTGTGTACACATATGGCATCTTGATCCCTTTTATTTCTCCTTCCTCCTGTTTCTCCTCCTCCTCCTCCTCTTCTTCCTCCTCCTTCCTTTTTCTCTTCTTCCTCTTCCTCTAGCCCTCCCCTTTTCCCCTTCCCTTCCCCCACCTCCTTTTTGAGACAAGGTCTCACTATACAGTTCACCCTGACCTTGAGCTCACTTTGTAGCCCAGGCTGGTCTCAAACTTGGAATGATCCTCCTGTGTCAGCTTACCAAGTGCTAGGATTATAGATGTGTGCCACCACTCCCAGCCCCCATCTATTTTTGATTAGGATATTGGCTAGATAATAAGTTTACTACTCCAGTCATTAGTTTTAGTTTGGATCATAAATATAGAAAAATGTAGATAGGATGGGAATGTTTTTAGTAGAGGGTAATATATGTGATATTAGATACAACTTAACTTTCTAGGCTTGAGATTTGAAGGTAATGTTCTCTGGGAGCAATATTAAATGGTCTGTAATATGTAATGATTGTTTGGGAATAAATACCAAATTCAAAGTGCATTAACTTTCTTTATTCTTTTTCTCCATTTCAATAAACTAGCTGTATTAATGCGTCAAGCCATAAAGCCATAATGTGGCATGCCATTCTTTCTGAGAGGTGAATATTTCTGAATAAAGATGGCGGACAGAAGTGGGAAGATTGTTCCAGGACAAGTGTATATTGAAGTGGAGTATGATTATGAATATGAAGCAAAGGACAGAAAGGTTGTGATAAAACAAGGGGAACGGTATATCTTGGTGAAAAAGACCAACGATGACTGGTGGCAAGTCAAACCAGATGAGAATTCTAAAGCATTTTATGTGCCAGCCCAGTATGTTAAGGAAGTCACCCGCAAAGCTCTAATGCCACCGCTTAAGCAGGCAGTTGGACTGCCAAATAATTCTATGAAAACAATCCAGAGTCTGCACCTTCAGAGATCAACAGAAAATGTGAACAAATTGCCTGAACTTTCAAGTTTTGGAAAGCCCTCATCATCTGTTCAAGGAACAGGTCTTATTCGTGATGCCAATCAGAATTTTGGACCCAGCTATAATCCAGGTCAAACTCTCAACCTAAGCCTGGACCTAACCCATAATAATGGAAAGTTTAACAGTGACTCACATTCTCCTAAAGTTTCCAGCCAGAATAGGACGCGCTTATTTGGTCACTTTCCTGGTCAGGAGTTCTTGGACATAGAGAAAACTAGCTTCTCACAGGAGCAGTCTTGTGATTCAGCAGGAGAAAGCTTAGAGAGAATACATCAGGATTCTGAATCTGGAGATGAGCTCAGCAGCAGCTCCACTGAACAGATAAGGGTAAGATTAAAAATAGAATGATGAAAAATTTCTACTACCTTAATAGCAGTTAATTACATGTTTTCGTCTAAGTTCCTTGTGAGAGTTAAACTCTTGCTTTATATTTTCAGAGTACATGGATTCTGTCATGCTTTAAAGAGCTAGAAGATATGTGAAATAATTTGGCAATTTCATAAAGGGTTTTTATAATCCTAGTGCTTTTATAGGGATAGAACTACTTTAAATGTGGAAGTTAATTTTTTTTTTTTTTTCTTTTTGGAACTGGGGATTGAACTCAGGCCCCTGCGCTTGCCAGGCAAGCATTTAGCCATCTCTCCGGCCCTCTATATTGATTACACATAAAACAGAAAGAAAGCCAGCGATGTAGCTCAGTGGCACAAGGGTCTACTCATAAGGGTGAGGTCTTGAGTTGATTCCCAGTAACCCCCCACTAAAAAAAAAAAACCGGAACAAAAAATGCAAAGAATTTAAATTGTCTAGTGATAACTTTTACTTTTTTTTTTTTTTTTTTTCTTGTTGAGACAGGGTCTTGCTATGCAGTTTAGGCTGGCTTTGAGCCCAACTTTGTAGCCCAGGCTGGCCTCAAGCTCAGTAATCCTTCTGCCTCATCCTCCCAAGTACTGGGATTACAGGCATGAGCTATTGCACCCAGCTATTACCTTTTTAAAATTATTTATTTGTTTACTTATTTACTTGGTACAGGGTCTTGCTACACGGCTTGTACTATAAGTGGTTTTCCTGTCTCAGCCTCTCTAGCTCTGGGACAGGCGGACACTACCACACCCATGGCCAACATGGCATGTGGTACTGAGGATCAAACCTGGGTCCTTGAGCTGGCCAGGCAGATGCTTAGAATGCTGAGCTGTATCTCCCCAGCCCCTGATATTTCTTTTAACAGAAAAAAGTTTTATTCTTCTCTAATAGTACTCATTTTGGCTTCTTTTCACTACTTAATAATGGATATCAGAGGAAAGATGTCACTGCTTTTTTTTTTTTTTTT